TATCAAAATTTTGACTACCAATACTTATCCGTATAGAATGCACCTTTCTGCTTTAATGTGTATTAATGACATATTACACACAATTAGTCGTCACAAAGAAAAGGGAGAAAAAGGGGTAATAATGCTGTCTTTGGATATAGAAAAAGCATATGATTGTGTCAAAATTGACCTCCTCTCGTCAATCCTAAAAGAACTGCACTGTCCTGCGGACCTTGTACAGTGGATAATTAATTTTCTGCGATACCGTGTTTTAGTCTTGGGAAAAAGTGAACTAAAAATATATAATGGGCTCCCCCAAGGGAGTTGTTTAAGCCCCACATTATTCAACATCTACACATTAGGCCTGCATGGTATTGCTGATGAGAATACATTCACATTTCAATTTGCAGATGACTTCATTATTTTATCCACGAATAAAAACTTTGATGTCGCCAATTTAAATCTACAACAAAAACTAAACTCGTTTCTGAGAATTTTATCTAAATTGAATCTCACACATAACTAAGAAAAAACTGCAGTAATGTATGTGGCCAAAGGATCCAGAAAAAAGCCTAACATACAGATTGAAAACAGATTAGTGAAGGACGTAAATATGATCAAGTTATTAGGGAGGTACATTAAAAACAGTCTGACCCTAAAAGAACACTATGATAATGTCATTGCCTCATGTAATTCGTCAAACGCATTAAAAATGATAACTACTGTAAAAACGGAGTAAATCCTAAAACTGCAATGACTTTATCGAAGTCACTAATATGCTCAAAAACCGAATACTCTATTTCTTCAATGGCGCACATGCCTACATACATAAATCGCAAAGTAACCAGTTTTCAAAACCAAACTTATAGAAGAAGTCTGGGACTCACACCAACCATTCCAGTACATATCATATATGCCTTAGCTCTATGCTTACCACCAGAACAACGATCGCAATATCTAGCAGCGAAGGAACTAATAAAATTCAAAATATTTCATAAATCCACCTATGAAAGGCTCTTTGAAACTCCCTCAGCTAAAACCAGCTTAGGTAGAGTCTACTAAATTCAAAGCAATTTTCGATAAAATCAAGATCAGTGACTTTATCAAACCCGCAAAAAACAAGTTTTTTTACTGAACATATTCGGATCTGCCAAAGATTGCCTACCCAAGGAATACTTCAATGCCAGGCTTCAAGAAAAATTAGATGAAATTACATTTTTTGGTGCCTCAATCTGGGCGACAGATGCCTCAGTCGGCACTAACTTTACTGGCTGTGCAGTATGCAACATCTCGTGCGATTATAACTTCGTTTTTAAGATTGATGAAAACTGTCTTCCCTTATGGGAGAACTCCACTCCATAAATAAAGCAATAGACATCATCTTGGAAGATGGTATTGAAAAAGCTATCATTCTCACAGACAGTAAAAACGCATTACTCCTCTCGAGAAACAATACTTCCCACAACTACCTAGCAAATGAAATCAATCTGAAAATAAATCATTCATCTATAGCTATGCTTACATTTATATGGACTCCTTCACATATTGGAATTAATGCGAACGAACGCGCTGATCAATTTGCAAAACACGCGATAAACGCAGGATGCACTATTCAGTCTCAGCTATCAGTCAAAGATGGATCCAGACGTATTTACCAAACCCTATGGGATAAATGGACTCACAATTATACAGAACTCTCAAACACAAAAGGAACCTACTTTTTCCAGTTCTTTCCTCAACCACCCAGACTCCATTGGCATGCTGGATCTCCCATTTCGTCAACGGATATCAAACTCATTAACAGACTTTATACAGGGCACACGTATGATAAAGTCTATCTTCACCGAATGAAAATATCAAGCACAAACATCTGCGAGACGTACAACACAATTGAATCCGACGATCATGTAATATTCAAATGCATCAAATATAATACAGTCAGGAACGGGTTTGCTTTCTTCAGAGACTTTAATAATTTACCCAGTCTATTAATCAAAAATGAACTAGTCTACTACTTGATCTATGTAAATTTATACACAAAGCAGAAATTTGGTTATAACGTTCACCTTGTGATATATGTCGATTAGCAGAACCCTACTAACTCAACGTAAAACAGCTGTGGTTCCTGATTACTCTGGGTAATCGACCAACCCTAGTTGTCGGTCTACGACAAAAAGAGCCAAAAAAAAAACAGATGTTTGTTCTGGTACATATGATCGGTATCTAAGTAACTACGGAGGAATATAGATGTATTACACTGTGATACAAAAAAAATCTCAGGGGTTCTAATGTGTCAATTCCGTTTAGTTGGAGTCCCTGGACCGCGAAAATACCTTTGGTTTTTCTGGGTCACTTCGAAAATTAGTTTTATAACGGTAAATGTAAAGAAAACGCGTATAACTGCATTTCTTTCTAACGGATTTATATTATTCTATGCATAAAATCAATACAAAAATGTGTATATGTCATCCATTTTTTAACCGATTTTTTTTTTATTTTTCTCATTTTCGAAAGCTTATTTAAGTGTTTTACCCGTAATATAATAAAAATTATATGGCTTGATATCATAATTTCGTCATGCAGTCCGAAGAAAAATAAATTTTGTCTGTAACTGTAACTCAGCCAATTCTCAACCGATTTACACTTATTAGGAAGAATTTTTAAAAATTTCGACATTTCGTGGGGAGGTATAATACGTATCATGCCAATTTGGATGAAATGGGTTACTTCCTTCGAAAGTTATCGTGCGCACCAGTCGTCCAGACATACAGACGGTCATTTGTAAATGGACTTCCATTTGTCGAATCGGATTTGGTCGGTAAGTAACATTTTGCCGCAGCAAAGTACACATTTTTAAAACAAAGACATTTAAAAAACTGTTTAAAAATAAAAATCAATTTTGTTGCACCCACGCTTTTAATATTTAACGTCAGTATATATTTTTTCAACTTTTGAATTTTTGGGTATAAATTGTTGATTTTGGGCACTTTTTAGTTGTAATTTTGAGCAGGAACTTTTTTTCAAGCGGCAACACTGGATACTACACAACACAAACTCGAAGTTATAACCCCAAATTAACGATAATTTTTAACATATCGCTTATTTGCTGCAAGGCAGGGATAACTCAAACGTGATTTTCGAGTTAATGATGCACGATTGTTCCTCATGTTGTGTAAAAAATTCATATGAATATCTCTTACGCACTCTGATTGAGACACTATAGAATTTACCCTGTTCTATGTAATGTTTGTGTAAATTGAAAACCTAAAACGCATTTTCTGCAAAATCGTTTTTCTAGATATGCCTGTCTTGCAGCGAATGAGCGATATCTACATCGTTTGAAAATACGATGAGTCAAACAATATTTTTTAATTCTTATTATCCAACCCTGATTCTAGTTCATAATAATTTATAGGTCGTAGATTTTCTGGGTTTATGTCATTGCTTGGAGCTGTGTGGTGAGTTATATCTTTTGGTTCTAATACGGATTAAAAGTGGAAAATAGTCAACGGTTGAATACAGCGACATCTAGCATTGAATAGTAAAAAATGAAAACGAAAGAGGTGATATAATCTTAGATAACCAGTAGTATGGTGAATAAATCAATAATGCCTGCTTACATTTGAGTTGGTGGAGTTTGCATGTAAAGCGGTTATCTGAAATTCGAATTACCCCTCCGTCATCTATTTGAAACTTATCGCGAAATATCTAAAACGGTTTTTTCACTGTGCAATCATTGTTTTTCCCATAGATAATTTATCTGTAATTTACAGAATACGATATGCAACATACAAAAGAAAATCACATACACTAGACCAGGGATGCTCGGCCATATACGCTACCGTAACTGAGGGTCGATGGGTAAACACATTTTCTCTTTCTTTCTCTTTTCGTCAGTCGTTTTTAATGGTGAATTCTCAGTTACGCTGGAACACACTTGATCTCAATTTAATTTTGCCCAACACTGCACTAGACTCTAGTGACTAGAGCCCTAACTTGAGACATTTCGATATGTGAGCTATATCTTTATCCGATCCGATTTTAAAGAAACCTAACACACTTTTCTCTACATTTAATTTCGCTCAATCGAACAAACGTAGGGTCTTTGGTGAACAATTTACATAAAATCGGACGAAAATATTTGTGGGAGTTATATAAAAACCTGATTCGATTCTATAAAAATGTATACACTTAATTTTAGGCTCAAAATGTTCTTTTCATTAGGACACCCATTGGCACTCTGGTTCACTATTATAAAATCGGTTGTCTCCAATTGTCTCCATACGATTGTCTCCAATTTCAATAGGATTCCTCCTAGGGCAAAATAAGTGGTCTGTACCAAATTTCGTCCCATTCTGACCATAAATGCGGCCTGTACTTTGTTTACAATTAACATAGACAGACGCATATGCATAACACGATTAAGAAAGGCATTCTATGAATATTCTCCATGGGTCTAACTCGTTTCTTTTTGCATATTGCGAACAGTGTGATGTAGGGTATAACATTAACATAATACAGTAATAATAACATACAGTGAAATCTCGATAATGTGGACACTCAAACTGCCATTAAGTATTGAACAAATCTGGGAATTAGCGATTGTCATGCATTATTTTTTGAATCATTCATTATGCCCAGTATACATGTTTGGGAAACTTTCGTTATATGCGGAAGTCTGTGTAAAAATTCAACTATTTTGATGATTAGTTATATACCGAATTCTTTAAACTGAGTATTCATTTCATCGAGTTTTGGCTGTATTTAAAAAAAAATAAATTTAATTTTTTATATACACTTTATTTTATCACATTGTTTTGGAATACATATAAACAAAGGTGAATCATAACAATATATATATATATATATACATTCATTTTGAGAAATAAATTCTTATTCGAAAAATGCGTTTTTGTATTTTTTTTTAATTTGGAATCGGAGGACAAATAAATTAGTAAAATTTCAAGTTTATAGTCCATAAATCAACAAATGAGTTCAACTTATTTTTTAATATCTACAAATTATTTTTTTGAAAAAGTTCTCTCCAATTTACCGTCAATAATCTCGATTAACGAACTTGTAGGTTTTATAACGACCTCATCTTGAACTTCGTGGTTGTGGTGGTGGCGATGAAGCTGACTGTTATCCCTTCGCCGACGGTATTCATTATCGTTCATTACACAATAGCAGGGTTTCCAGCTGGGAGTTGCCCTATAGCCGGACACATCATTTGGCCTATAGTTCTCATAATGTGAACGTTCTGTTGTCCAATATGTAGAACGAGGTATGTAACTATTCCAACCGTCCGATGAGCGATAAATGGAACTTCCCCCTCCACGTCCATCAGAAGATCCTACATAAACCGGAACGTTGCCGGGATAATATTCCTGATAATCTGGATAACGGCCTCGTCCTGAATGATCGTACGATCGACGTTCTGCAGAAAAATTGGGATTCCATTGCGATTTTGGATCAGTAGGTTTGCGGTTCTTGTGGGAACCCGAGCCTCCTCTTCCTTTGAAAATGGGAACACTTGCGTCTTCTATGCATGCCAACAAAGATTGACATTAAAATAAATATTGAAATAAATCTAATGACGGTAGTATTACCCTTATCATCGACATCATGTTCCCGACTTGTTTTATTGTCATGAGCATCGCCTCCAGCTGTGATTTCAAATGTTATGTCCGTATGGATACCAACACGTTTTTTATTTTTACCCAAATCGGTGATCTCAACACTTTCCTTGGATTCTACAAGATAAATAATTGTTAAATATCTGAAGAGATTACATTGTCTGTATATCTGATGGAATTTAACCTTTGGATGTTTGTCCATCGCCCGTATCAACAGTCACACGCACACCATGAATTTTGGGTCCAGTTTTGACTCCATCTTTATTGTCATTGTCATCCATTGCCTTGGCTTTTTCATTGTTGCGATCATCCGATCGTCCTTTTATGACCGGTACTGTAGAATTATTGTTGTCTTCGGTTTCACTTAAATCCAATTTAGGCGATACTTGATTTTGTTGTGCTGTAAATAGATGATCTACTTATTACACTGTACAAAAAATAGGAATACAACTTCAAATGTGGATTTTCTTAAATCAAACGTTGGCGCAATGTGTTGTTATTCCGTTTGCAACACCACGGACACCGCGTCTTAATTCCCTCTATATTAGAGTTCATAGCTCAGTTTTTCAATACGAGAGTATGAAATTTTCTCAAATCATAAAAAACCTACTAGTAGACAATTTTCAAAGATAGATTTAACTCTGGTATGGCGAGAATGCATTTGTTATTTTTTTAAGTTACTTTATTTACTGGACGTTAAATTTTTAAGTAAAATGCTAAGGCTCTGCAGAACATAGAAGTTAAAAGCTGAATTTTTGAAGACCCTAAAGATGGAGGATATTAACCCTTCTTTGCATACAGACCATTTGAAGATTTTTTCAAGCTTTTTGAAGATGGGTGTCTATTAAAAGACTAAATGTATGATCTTGAGATGCATATAAAAGCATTAGCATCATTGAGAATGAGGTTCAATTAGACAGAAAATAATGCATTTCCAGATCAAATGACATGTAAACGGATGTGGATGAACGTTGGTCAAAATTATGCAGATCACCTAAATACTTATGGTATCCCATAATATTGTGAAACAAAACAAATTAATTTGTGTCCAAATAATAATATTATTTTATTTTGTTAATTCTCATACAAAATAAACAATTTCCAGCATATTTTCTTTTTTGCTGATTAATAAATTTCAGTTCTAGATTTAGCACTTTTTTAAGATTTTCTTTATAGAATTTTTGCTTTATTTGGTATTTTGTGTTTTATCCCAAAATATTATTCCCCCTTGGGTTGAATGATTCCCCGAGTTGTACCATCTGATAATATTCCTATGTAAATCTTGTGAACATTTTAGCATATAATTAGTAGTAATTTAAAGCCGAAGAAATCCTCTCGGAAACACTTCTCCAGTCTATGTTCTCTGTCAATGTCCTCCTGGAGTAAATGTATACGTCCTAGAATGCAAATTCTCACACAAAAATCTTAGTCCATTCGACCATGCTTATTTTTAGACAAATGTCTTTCTCCATGTAAAATTTTTCGAGATCTTTCATGAAATATAAAGCTAGAAGAGGGTTAGGTATTTTTGAATGGAAGCCAAACAGATCTTCGACATGCAGTTGAAATTTAACGAATGGGTTTCGTATAGAATTAGAATTACTAAATATGAAATTACAATGAAAGCGGTAGAGATGTACATCTGAAACTTGGTATGTAGTTTTTTATTAACTATATAATGATGTGCAAAACTATTTTTGGAAATCAGTCGAGGACCGAATTTATTCGGTTGAACGTGTTATTTTAGTGTCATTGTAGTTTTTATACCCTTCACCACACTGTGGTACAGGGTATTATGTCTTTGTGCATATGTTTATAACAGGCAAAAGGAATCGAGATAGACACATGGTTCCTTTTGAGAATATGCATAGAATCACATTCTAAGACGATTTATGGATGTCCGTCCGTCCGTCTGTCCATGTTAAATTGTGAACAAAGTACAGGTCGCATTTTTATCCGATTTGGATGAAATTTGGCACAGCTCATTTATTTGGCCCAAGGACGAACCCTATTGAAATTGGGAAAAATCGGTTCAGATTTAGATATAGCTCCCATGTATATATATATATATATATATTCGTCCGATTTAAGGTAAATGGTGCACCAAAGTCCCTATATATCTTTCGATTTGCACGAACTTTGGCACAGCGTAATGAATTAAGCTTAGAATGATGTGTGCAAAGTTTTGTGAAAACCGGTTCAAATTATATATAGCTCCCATATATATTTTCGTCCGATTTCAGGTAAATGGTTGGTACACCATTTGTCTATATATCTTTCGATTTGCACGAAATTTGGCACAGCGTACTGAATTAAACCTAGAATGATGTGCTAAGTTTCGTGAAAATCGGTTAAGATTTAGATATAGCTCCCATATATATTTTCGTCCGATTTCAGGTCAATGGGGCATCAAAGTCCAAATATATATTTCGAAATCGGTTCAGATTTAGATATAGCTCCCATATATATTTTCGTCCGAATTCAGGTATATGGTGCACCAAGGTACCTATATATCTTTCGATTTGGATGAAATTTGGCACAACGTAATGAATTAAGCCTAGAATGATGTGTGCTAAGTTTCGTGAAAATCGGTTAAGATTTAGATATAGCTCCCATATATATTTTCGTCCGATTTCAGGTAAATGGGGCACCAAAGTCCAAATATATATTTCGATTTGTACAAAATTTGGCATAGGATACTGAATTGCGTCTAGAATGACATGTTCTAAGTTTCGAAAATTGTGCACTAAATACCCATAGCTAGGCCGATTGACACAACGTACTGAAATTAATATAAATAAATCTCTGCAAGTTCTCTTAAAATCGGTTAAGATTTAGATGTAGCATATCTTACATATATAATTTCGACCTATTCATGTCGATTGTACACCAAATAATCAAAAGGTGCCTGATTGATATTACATTTTAAACAGTGCAGCATACCGAATAGCGTGTGTAAAGTTTGCTTTAAATCTATTTACGAAATTTAGAATAGGTTGCAGAATGACATATGTTGGGATTGATGTTAGTCGATTTACTTATAGATAAATATCGCATATTTATGTTCGTTAAATTTCATGACAATGTTCCTTCGAAATGGCGTCGTCTGTTAGGATACATATGTATAATATACCCAAAATGGTGAAGGGTATCATATAGTCGGCCCAGTCCGACTTTACTACTTTCCTTACTGGTTTAATTTTATAGAAAGTATTCAGCGATCGTTGTCTTTCGTTAAACAATTTATTTGAAACAAACTAAAAAACAGTCATTTTCCAAAAGTGGATCACCTTTGGAAAGTTTTGTAGAAAGTTTGGTTTGATCGGATGCCCTGTTCGTATGACGTTCTAAAATGTATTTTCAGCATAATTTTGACGATTGTGTGGGGGATGTCCTAGAAGTAGTAGAACGATTGTCCCCATCTTGGAACTTCATATAAGTTTGAAAGAAATATTGCGATGTGCAAAATTTAGATCAAGTCGGAGTAACCATACGATTAATATTAGATAACCACATTTTTTTTCAAAATTTTGAATATTTTCGGGGGAGGTACCAGAAGGAATGAGCCAATGGGTCCCATCTTCGGACTTGTCCTAGGTTTGGTGAAGAAACAGGTTTTGCAAAGTTTGGTTTAAATCGTATAGTCCGTTCGCATGATATTATAAAGTGAATTTTAATAGAACAGATGATCATATGTACAATATCATGTCGATAGAAAAGAATGAAATCGGACTTAATTAAATATGTCATCTAAATAGATATTTGAACATATTTGAATCAACCCATACATATAAATCTATGAAAATGTCATGGCAATCATACAGACTTGGGTTCTTTGGTGTATCATTCATAGCAAAATTATGTATGACAGCTATACGTAAATCTGGACTGATTTGAGCAAACGAGGCACAGACGAAAATATATAAGGATTTTATCTACATCTAAACATATTTTACAAAATCAATTACACGCCATTCTGAACTGATTGTACTAAGACTTAACATACGTCATTCTAGACTCAATTCAATAATCTGTGCATATGAAAGAAAAATGTTCATTTCAATGCAACATTTAAATCTAATTTCTAAATCTAATTTCAGTTACGATTCCAATATACTTTAACACACGTCATTCTAGGGCTTTGGTGCACCATATACATAAATCGGACGAACATATATATGGGAGTTATATATAAAACTGAACGGATTTTCACGAAACTTAATATACGTCACTGTAGACTCAATACAGTACGGTATTTCAAATTTTGTCTGAATCGGATAATTTATCTGAGTTTAATGCTAAATACGGCCTAAATTTAAATCTGAACACATTTCAACAAAGATTTATACTAAACTTTGAACTCTGAAACATAGCATGTATCTTTAACTCTAATGGTATGCATAATTATTTCTGGAAGTTACTACATATTGTATCACAGTGAATGGCATTCTTCTCATGTTCATCATTATAGAATATAGCACCACTTTCAAAACACATTTTAGGTAAATTTGAATGAGAATGAGAATGAGCGATATCTACATCGTTTGAAAATACGATGAGTCAAACAATATTTTTTAATTCTTATTATCCAACCCTGATTCTAGTTCATAATAATTTATAGGTCGTAGATTTTCTGGGTTTATGTCATTGCTTGGAGCTGTGTGGTGAGTTATATCTTTTGGTTCTAATACGGATTAAAAGTGGAAAATAGTCAACGGTTGAATACAGCGACATCTAGCATTGAATAGTAAAAAATGAAAACGAAAGAGGTGATATAATCTTAGATAACCAGTAGTATGGTGAATAAATCAATAATGCCTGCTTACATTTGAGTTGGTGGAGTTTGCATGTAAAGCGGTTATCTGAAATTCGAATTACCCCTCCGTCATCTATTTGAAACTTATCGCGAAATATCTAAAACGGTTTTTTCACTGTGCAATCATTGTTTTTCCCATAGATAATTTATCTGTAATTTACAGAATACGATATGCAACATACAAAAGAAAATCACATACACTAGACCAGGGATGCTCGGCCATATACGCTACCGTAACTGAGGGTCGATGGGTAAACACATTTTCTCTTTCTTTCTCTTTTCGTCAGTCGTTTTTAATGGTGAATTCTCAGTTACGCTGGAACACACTTGATCTCAATTTAATTTTGCCCAACACTGCACTAGACTCTAGTGACTAGAGCCCTAACTTGAGACATTTCGATATGTGAGCTATATCTTTATCCGATCCGATTTTAAAGAAACCTAACACACTTTTCTCTACATTTAATTTCGCTCAATCGAACAAACGTAGGGTCTTTGGTGAACAATTTACATAAAATCGGACGAAAATATTTGTGGGAGTTATATAAAAACCTGATTCGATTCTATAAAAATGTATACACTTAATTTTAGGCTCAAAATGTTCTTTTCATTAGGACACCCATTGGCACTCTGGTTCACTATTGTAAAATCGGTGATACGATTGTCTCCAATTTCAATAGGATTCCTCCTAGGGCAAAATAAGTAGTCTGTACCAAATTTCATCCCATTCTGACCATAAATGCGGCCTGTACTTTGTTTACAATTAACATAGACAGACGCATATGCATAACACGATTAAGAAAGGCATTCTATGAATATTCTCCATGGGTCTAACTCGTTTCTGTTTGCATATTGCGAACAGTGTGATGTAGATTATAACATTAACATAATACAGTAATAATAACATACAGTGAAATCTCGATAATGTGGACACTCAAAATGCCATTAAGTATTGAAAAAATCAGGGAATTAGCGATTGTCATGCATTATTTTTTGAATCATTCATTATGCCCAGTATACATGTTTGAGGATATACTTTCGTTATATGCGGAAGTCTGTGTAAAAATTCAACTATTTTGATGATTAGTTATATACCGAATTCTTTAAACTGAGTATTCATTTCATCGAGTGTTGGCTGTATTTAAAAAAAATTAAATTTAATTTTTTATATACACTTTATTTTATCACATTGTTTTGGAATACATATAAACAAAGGTGAATCATAACAATATATATATATATATATATATACATTCATTTTGAGAAATAAATTCTTATTCGAAAAATGCGTTTTTGTATTTTTTTTAATTTGGAATCGGAGGACAAATAAATTAGTAAAATTGCAAGTTTATAGTCCATAAACCAACAAATGAGTTCAACTTATTTTTTAATATCTACAAATTATTTTTTTGAAAAAGTTCTCTCCAATTTACCGTCAATAATCTCGATTAACGAACTTGTAGGTTTTATAACGACCTCATCTTGAACTTCGTGGTTGTGGTGGTGGCGATGAAGCTGACTGTTATCCCTTCGCCGACGGTATTCATTATCGTTCATTACACAATAGCAGGGTTTCCAGCTGGGAGTTGCCCTATAGCCGGACACATCATTTGGCCTATAGTTCTCATAATGTGAACGTTCTGTTGTCCAATATGTAGAACGAGGTATGTAACTATTCCAACCGTCCGATGAGCGATAAATGGAACTTCCCCCTCCACGTCCATCAGAAGATCCTACATAAACCGGAACGTTGCCGGGATAATATTCCTGATAATCTGGATAACGGCCTCGTCCTGAATGATCGTACGATCGACGTTCTGCAGAAAAATTGGGATTCCATTGCGATTTTGGATCAGTAGGTTTGCGGTTCTTGTGGGAACCCGAGCCTCCTCTTCCTTTGAAAATGGGAACACTTGCGTCTTCTATGCATGCCAACAAAGATTGACATTAAAATAAATATTCAAATAAATCTAATGACGGTAGTATTACCCTTATCATCGACATCATGTTCCCGACTTGTTTTATTGTCATGAGCATCGCCTCCAGCTGTGATTTCAAATGTTATGTCCGTATGGATACCAACACGTTTTTTATTTTTACCCAAATCGGTGATCTCAACACTTTCCTTGGATTCTACAAGATAAATAATTGTTAAATATCTGAAGAGATTACATTGTCTGTATATCTGATGGAATTTAACCTTTGGATGTTTGTCCATCGCCCGTATCAACAGTCACACGCACACCATGAATTTTGGGTCCAGTTTTGACTCCATCTTTATTGTCATTGTCATCCATTGCCTTGGCTTTTTCATTGTTGCGATCATCCGATCGTCCTTTTATGACCGGTACTGTAGAATTATTGTTGTCTTCGGTTTCACTTAAATCCAATTTAGGCGATACTTGATTTTGTTGTGCTGTAAATAGATGATCTACTTATTACACTGTACAAAAAATAGGAATACAACTTCAAATGTGGATTTTCTTGCAAATCAAACGTTGGCGCAATGTGTTGTTATTCGGAAACATTTTTGCAACACCACGATATTTTGAAGGACACCGCGTCTTAATTCCCTCTATATTAGAGTTCATAGCTCAGTTTTTCAATACGAGAGTATGAAATTTTCTCAAATCATAAAAAACCTACTAGTAGACAATTTTCAAAGATAGATTTAACTCTGGTATGGCGAGAATGCATTTGTTATTTTTTTAAGTTACTTTATTTACTGGACGTTAAATTTTTAAGTAAAATGCTAAGGCTCTGCAGAACATAGAAGTTAAAAGCTGAATTTTTGAAGACCCTAAAGATGGAGGATATTAACCCTTCTTTGCATACAGACCATTTGAAGATTTTTTCAAGCTTTTTGAAGATGGGTGTCTATTAAAAGATTAAATGTATGATCTTGAGATGCATATAAAAGCATTAGCATCATTGAGAACGAGGTTCAATTAAACAGAAAATAATGCATTTCCAGATCAAATGACATGTAAACGGATGTGGATGAACGTTGGTCAAAATTATGCAGATCACCTAAATACTTATGGTATCCCATAATATTGTGAAACAAAACAAATTAATTTGTGTCCAAATAATAATATTATTTTATTTTGTTAATTCTCATACAAAATAAACAATTTCCAGCATATTTTCTTTTTTGCTGATTAATAAATTTCAGTTCTAGATTTAGCACTTTTTTAAGATTTTCTTTATAGAATTTTTGCTTTATTTGGTATTTTGTGTTTTATCCCAAAATATTATTCCCCCTTGGGTTGAATGATTCCCCGAGTTGTACCATCTGATAATATTCCTATGTAAATCTTGTGAACATTTTAGCATATAATTAGTAGTAATTTAAAGCCGAAGAAATCCTCTCGGAAACACTTCTCCAGTCTATGTTCTCTGTCAATGTCCTCCTGGAGTAAATGTATACGTCCTAGAATGCAAATTTTGTAAATTCTCACACAAAAATCTTAGTCCATTCGACCATGCTTATTTTTAGACAAATATCTTTCTCCATGTAAAATTTTTCGAGACCTTTCATGAAATATAAAGCTAGAAAAGGGTTAGGTTTTTTTGAATGGAAGCCAAACAGATCTTCGACATGCAGTTGAAATTTAACGAATGGGTTTCGTATAGAATAAGAATTACTAAATATGAAATTACAATGGAAGCGGTAGAGATGTTCATCTGAAACTTGGTATGTAGTTTTTTATTAACTATATAATGATGTGCAAAACTATTTTTGGAAATCAGTCGAGGACCGAATTTATTCGGTTGAACGTGTTATTTTAGTGTCATTGTAGTTTTTATACCCTTCACCACACTGTGGTACAGGGTATTATGTCTTTGTGCATATGTTTATAACAGGCAAAAGGAATCGAGATAGACACATGGTTCCTTTTGAGAATATGCATAGAATCACATTCTAAGACGATTTATGGATGTCCGTCCGTCCGTCTGTCCATGTTAAATTGTGAACAAAGTACAGGTCGCATTTTTATCCGATTTGGATGAAATTTGGCACAGCTCATTTATTTGGCCCAAGGACGAACCCTATTGAAATTGGGAAATTCGTTTCAGATTTAGATATAGCTCCCATATATATATATATATATATATATTCGTCCGATTTAAGGTAAATGGTGCACCAAAGTCCCTATATATCTTTCGATTTGCACGAACTTTGGCACAGCGTAATGAATTAAGCTTAGAATGATGTGTGCAAAGTTTTGTGAAAACCGGTTCAAATTATATATAGCTCCCATATATATTTTCGTCCGATTTCAGGTAAATGGTTGGTACACCATTTGTATATATATCTTTCGATTTGAACGAAATTTGGCACAGCGTACTGAATTAAACCTAGAATGATGTGCTAAGTTTCGTGAAAATCGGTTAAGATTTAGATATAGCTCCCATATATATTTTCGTCCGATTTCAGGTCAATGGGGCATCAAAGTCCAAATATATATTTCGAAATCGGTTCAGATTTAGATATAGCTCCCATATATATTTTCGTCCGAATTCAGGTATATGGTGCACCAAGGTACCTATATATCTTTCGATTTGGATGAAATTTGGCACAACGTAATGAATTAAGCCTAGAATGATGTGTGCTAAGTTTCGTGAAAATCGGTTAAGATTTAGATATAGCTCCCATATATATTTTCGTCCGATTTCA